GGACTCTCTTGAGATCATTTTTGTATGTCTTTCATCTTTCAACCCCTGAATAAGGCAAAAAAGGTGAGACGCAAGCCAAAGCTAGGTAAAGATAACAATATCGGACAAGCCCCTCTACAAAATGGTCATGTATGTCAAGATTTAGAGAAAGTCGAACGTGTTCACTACCCAGTACCTTCAGTGTTCCACCACATGCAAGAATGGTGCTCAGCTGCCGACTTCAGGGATCGACTGATTGTCGTAGCATTTGCTATTTATTAGGTTGTCCGGAAAGTTCTCAGCGTTTTGAGTGTTTCACTTTAAACGATCATAACTTTCTTAATACTCATCGGATTCAATCGAAATAAGCACCGTTCGAATCAGCACACTTTTGCCAATGTGACACCAGTCGATAAATCCCATCAAAGAAAAAAACTGGGTGGTCGAGAATCCGAAATCCACGAAGGCTTTTTTGCCTGGTCCTGATTGATGAAGTATTTTCCAGCAAGGAAGTTCTGAAAATGTTTGAAAAGGTGATAGTCGGTTGGCGAAAGGTCTGAAGAATATGGCGGTTGAGGTAGAACTTCAACCCCCAATTCGTTCAATTTATGGATAGTGATTTGTGAAACGTGTGGGCGGGCGTTGTCATGCAAAAGAATCGGACCCTTTCTGTTGACAAGTGCTGGCTGCAGCTTTTCGGTACATTTCGTCGATTTCTTCACAGTAGGACTCTGCTGTGATGGTTTGGCCTGGTGACAAAAAGTTATAGTGGATCACACCAGCCGATGACCACCACACTGTGACCATAATCTTTTTTTCGTGAGGGTTCGGCTTTGAAAATTACCTCGGTGGTTCGTCGGCATCCAACCACTGTCCGGAACGTCTCCTGTTATCATACATGATCCACTTTTCATCACAGGTGACAATTCGAAAAACGGGTCGTTTCTGTTGCGCAAAAGCAGTGAAGAAGAAACCTCGAGACGTGCCAATTTCTGCCGGTCACTCAAATTGTGGGGCACCCACTTGTCGAGTTTTTTCAC